ATCTTTTCAACTTTTGCATATTTTTAGGTGCAATGCTTCGCCCCGCCCTGTCCCCTCCAAGCCTCTTGCGTCCCTAGGTTCACCGGGACCGTTGGAGACATTCTGGGTATTTTAAGAAATAAGTATTGCATCCAACGTATGTATTGTTTAGGCTGGATCCCGGAAAACGTGTGGGGATTGGGCCGCTAAGAAGGATCATGAGTGAAAGCTATCTTTGTACAAGTTTCGTGTTGTAATAAAAGCTTCGTAAGGTCTCTTGAGTATCACCACAAGATAAAAAGGAAATTAAATTAATAAACAAAAAAAACATCCAAAAACCCCATAAAAATTTCCTTTCTCCTTCCGAAAAAAAATTTATTCTTCACGTCATCAAGCGATAATTTTCACCTCTGGCGCTAACAGCTAGCGAGAACCCTTTACAAAATCGATGCCATAGCGCTAACAGCCCTATGGCAACGATTTTGTAAAAACAAACCTGGCCATCGTGTTCAGAATTTTTTCTTTATCCGCTCAGCTAGTTAGCCCCAAGCGTCTTGAAATTTGGAAATTTGAAAGAGAAGCGGAAGCCCTACCGAAGATGTGAAGCGCAACCCTACCGAGAATGGCCTTTACGGTAGGGCTATTTCTGAGCACCTTAGAGACAAATCGTCGAAAGGAGCCCTACCGAAAATGTGCCCTAAGGCTAAGCACGTTTTAGAAGTCCAATTTTTTTGTAGCGGTCGTTAATTATCGTCCCCCAAAATTTGCTACCACCAGGATGTGACGGTCTCTCTCTCCCACCTCCCCTCATTTGAGCTAAACCTAAAGGTTGGCCAGTGGACCCTTCTGCCCCTCGTTATTCTCGCCGTGATCAGCTCACTTTTCAACCTTCTCGTTCTCATAAAGCTGGTGCTCATGAAAAACCTCAGTGGCTCCGAGAACAGCAAGCTATTGTCGAAGGTGGGCGGGAAATGGAACCCTCAATTTCAAGTTCTTAGGCAGAGAGGCGGCTCTGCTTTGTAAGCCTCTACTCATTTACGTTCGTGCTGGCCTTTATCTTTGCGCAGGTAATTATAGAGTACGCTTGCATGGCATGGAAACGTCATCGTCTAGTCACATTTAGGTGACGAATCTTGTGTTAGAACAAGATGATCCGTTCAAGGACTTTACGCATATGAGTTTTACCCCTGAGATAGAGAGAGCGAGAGAGAGGACGCGAGCTAGAGAGCGAGAGCGAGAGAGAGAGTGAAAGAGAACGGGAGAGAGAGCGAGATATAGAGCGTAAAAGAGTTATTCGTAACTTAGTTCCCAACCCCGCTAAGCTCCAATTTGCTCTCCCTGGCTACGGTATGGATTTGGATCTGGCATTCCGCCGAACTACGCTTAATGCTGCGTGACAGAATATTCTGAGACTCCAAACGACAAAATGCAACGGCCGTCAGTATCAGGTCGATACAGTTGTAGCCAATTTTAGTTGGCTTATGGATATCGTATCTTTGCGTTAATGCCTAAGTTATAAAGATCAAGTACCATTTCTAGCATACCAGGCTAATCCCCTAGAGACTTTGCTGGCTTGCGCGTTTCTAATACTACCAGAAAACCCCAAATTAACCGCAATATCATTTCTGAAAACTGCAGTTTTTTGGACTTCGCCTAGTATGTAATTTTCTACCCTCTATTTCTGAAAATTAGCTCAATCTGAGGTTTTTCTTTGGTTTTGTAGAAATTACCACCTGTACAGGGCCATGGCCGTCAAAAAAATCACGGGTTTTGTTAAGTGGGATCGGATGGTAAATTAGGGGCTCCACCCCCAGGGTCTAAATAGGACGCCAGATATACGTGTCGAAATCCGTCGTAATTCTACTGCCCGAATTATTTCCAAGACCCGAATGCCTAACAGAATCTCGAAAATCAAAATCTCGAATTTTCATAATCTCGAATTTTCAGAATCTCGATTTTCAAAATCACGAATTTTCAGAACCTCGAAATATGCCGATGCTGGATTCAGGGCATAGACGTGCAATTTTCCGGAGCCTTTAATGCTGATTTAGACCATGGAAATATCGATACTGAAAGAATTCGATATTCTGAAAATTCGAGATTCTGATTTTCGAGATTCTGATTTTCGAAATTTTGACAGATTCCCCCCACGACCCCACTCTTTACAGTACCCCAGGAAATGGCTGAACAGGATTTTCCGATGATGATCAATTACAAAACGCTTGTGAAAAATTACATTATGGCGATGTTGATATTGCCTACGTTTGGAGTGGTGTTTGTGATATTAAGGCAGTTCTTTCGGAAGCCTCGGGATTTCAAGACACCATTTGCTAGGATTTGCCTTTGTACCGTAATTGCGGTATGTTATTGAATGTATAGCATTTTTAGAGGATTTTTAGGACATGGTTTGTTTTGGGGCCGACTTCTTTGCTTGGGATTTTGCAAGCTGTGGGATTGTGCCAATTTATTTATACATTGATGTACGTCGAAGAGAGAGAAAAAGAGAGAGAGACGCCAGAGAGAGAGAGAGAGAGAGAGAGAGAGAGAGAGAGATAAAGAAGGGTTGAGAGAGACTATAAAGCCTCTGAGACTAGAATTACATTTTTAGCAAGGCTTCTTCCCCCACTTCTTCACCTTCATCCAAAACTTCAGTCGCGATTTTCAATTTTTCTGCGCTGCCGTAATCGCCTTCAACCGATACACAGCGCTCTATTGGCACTTTGCCAAGGTAGAAGCGGTAAGCGCAAAACTTTTTGGGAAACAAGTATATTTGATTTTAGTTCTGGAATCGTGCCACTCTGCCATTTATAATCAGCGGTTTGACAATATCGATAGCCATGGCTCTGACACAGGCGGTTCCGGAGAATTTCTATCTACGGGTTGGGATGTATACGTGGTTTTTGTACGCGGGGGAGACGTATTTTGTAAGTAGCTTTCGAATGGCCACACATTACTGATATCCATTTAAGATTCTTAAAATCTCAGATCCAGAGAGCACGTTAAAATGTCCTTATTTTTTTTTCTTAATTCTTCTCTTGCTCTAATTTTTCCTTTAGTGGGGTATAAAGCTTGGAATCTGGACCCTCATTTACCTTCTCATCCTCACCGGAATCAGCTTTATCTTCAACCTGCTCGTCCTCATAAAACTTGTCCTGATCAAGAACCGAGGCGGCGCCGAAAGCGGCAAATTGCTGTCCCAGGTGGGTTCCAAAACCTTGCGTCTCTGATTCCCATTCATCAAATTTATAGGCGGAAAAGAAGCTCTGCTTCGTTAGTCTGTACTCGTTTACATTCGTGCTAACCTTTATATTTGCGCAGGTATTTTTTGGAGATTTGTTGTTGAGGATGGGCGTTTTAGATTATGAACTTGGTGCTGGATGAGGCGGATTCATTCAAGGATTTTACGCATGTAAGTTTTTCTATAGGGGGAGCGAAGGAGAGCGAGGGAG